ACCCCATAAGTACCCCAACATCCCCATAGGGACCCATAAAACCCACAGGGAACCACAGAACCCCATAGGTACCCCAACGTCCCCATAGGGACCCATAGAAACCCCATAAGTACCCCAACGTCCCATAGGGACCCATAGAAGCTCAGAGGAACCCATAGAAACCCATACGGACCCACAGAACCCCATAGGGACCCACAGAACCCCATAAGTACCCCACTGTCCCAATAGGGACCCACAGAACCCCATAAGTACCCCAACATCCCCATAGAGACCCATAGAAACCCACAGGGACCCATAGAAACCCACAGGGACCCAAAGAAACCCACAGGGACCCAAAGAAACCCACAGGGACCCCAATGTCCCCACAGGGACCCATAGAAACCCAGAGGGACCCACAGAACCCCATAGGGACCCACAGAACCCCATAAGTACCCCAATGTCCCCATAGGGACCCACAGAACCTCATAGGGACCCACAGAACCCCATAGGTAAACCAATGTCTCCATAGGAACCCATAGAAACCCACAGGGACCCATAGAATCCCATAGGGACCCCAACATCCCCATAGGAACCCATAGAAACCCAGAGGAACCCATAGAACCCCATAGGGACCCACAGAACCCCATAGGGACCCCAATGTCCCCACAGGGACCCGTAGAAACCCAGAGGGACCCACAGAACCCCATAGGGACCCCAATGTCCCCATAGCCACCCATAGAACCCCATAGGAACCCACAGAACCCCATAAGTACCCCAATGGTCCCATAGGAACCCATAGAAACCCAGAGGCACCCCAATGTCCCCATAGGGACCCATAGAGACCCAAAGAGACCCAGAGAGACCCATAAGTACCCCAATGTCCCCATAGGGACCCATAGAAACCCAGAGGGACCCACCGAACCCCATAAGTACCCCAGTGTCCCAATAGGGACCCACAGAAACCCAGAGGGACCCACAGAACCCCAAAAGTACCCCAGTGTCCCAATAGGGACCCATAAAACCTGCAGAATCCCATAAGTACCCCAATGTCCCCATAGGGACCCACAGAAACCCAGAGGGACCCATAAGGACCCATAGGGACCCACAGGGACCCATAGGGACCCACAGAACCCCATAAGTACCCCAACGTCCCCATAGAGACCCATAGAAACCCAGAGGGACCCATAGAATCCCATAGGGACCCCAATGTTCTCATAGGGACCCATAGAAACCCAGAGGGACCCAGAGAACCCGACAGGGACCCACAGAAACCCCACAGGGATCCTAATGCCCCCATAGGGACCCAGAGAGACCCAAAGGGACCCACAGAACCCCATAGGAACCCCAACGTCCCCATAGGGACCCATAAAACCCACAGGGAACCACAGAACCCCATAAGCACCCCACCCTCCCATATGGACCCATAGAAGCTCAGAGGGACCCACAGAACCCCATAGGGACCCATAGAAGCTCAGAGGGACCCACAGAACCCCATAGGGACCCCAATGTCCCCATAGGGACCCATAGAAACCCAGAGGGACCCACAGAACCCCATAGGGACCCATAGAAGCTCAGAGGGACCCACAGAACCCCATAGGGACCCCAATGTCCCCATAGAGACCCATAGAAG